GCTAAGAATCTCCGGTGGAGGTTCGGTTGCCACCTAAAACGACTCGACCTAGCAAGATACAACGCACGCACCCTGAGGACTGACGAGAAGATCGTTGAGCTGGAAAAAGAGATAGACAAGTTACGCTGGCATATTATAATAATCCTATTCGAGGTCCGAAGAGAGGGGGAGGTCACGGTAATCCTCGAATCCGGCAACTTGCTCTATCACCGGGAGGGCGACCATCTGTCCCAAGGAGGTGTCGGATTTATCGTCCACAAGTCTCTCATTAACAACGTTGTAAAGATTGAGAGTGTGTCGACGAGGGTTGCGTACCTTATACTCAGAATCACCAAACGGTATTCGCTGAAGGTCACCAACCTCGGCACATCCCGATGAGAAAGTGGAGAAAATGTATGAGGATATCTCTAGAGCCATGCATTCCTCTAAAACCCACTATACGGTGTTAATGGGAGACTTCAATGCAAAACTAGGCACAAGAGAGAACGGTGAGCTGAAGGTAGGGAAATAGAGCGAGATAGGTATAGAAATTTCTTTGGACAAATATTTCTTAAATTTGTTCTCCCTCCCTTTACTATATGTCAGTAGAAAAAGACAGGTTGAGAAATTTCTTAAATTAGCTCTCTCCCTTCACTAAATGTCAATGGAACGAGATAGGCAAAGACATTTCTTTGAACATATATTTCTTAAAATTGCTCTCTCTCCCTTTACTAAATGTCAATAAAAATAGGCAGGGTCAGAAATGTCTTAAATTTGCTTTGACTTTTTTTCACAAGTTTTTGGATATCGTCACCTTTTCTAATTCTGCAGTTTAGCCTTCGTGGTCCTAAGCCTAAATCCATTTCTGTTTGTGTAAGAGAAATTATACACATCTTACTTTTTTATCCGACTGCACCAGAAAGAGGGTAATGCTTTTCGAAGGTCTGTATGTATGTATGTATGTCTATTTCTTTGGTACGCTCTGTAGCCTAAACGGCTTGATGAATTTTAACATATGAGTCGTTATTCATTACGTGTCGTTAGATTCGTATTAATTGTTGTTTATCCCCAAATTTGGTCATGTTGAACGCCATCCAATTGCGTTCAAGCTGTCGCGTCACCCGATAGTATGTAGGTGAAAAAACGCCGCCAGGTGGGGCGGCTGTAAGAAAAGGAAGTAGTTACCCACTGGCCGCGATGCGGGGAACCCGCGTAGCTCGTTATCGCAGCCGAAGTTCACGCGACCGTTGTAGGGTCCAGAGAGTTAGATTAAGTGCGTGTTACTTCCTTACGTTGATATGTGAATTTTGCAATATTTAATTTGTTCGGGGATGCGGAATTGTGCACGTGCGCATCGAGTAGATATACGGTCTAGGATTCGAACCGCGCATTCCTTGTTCGAGAGCTTCTCCCGGTTGATTGTCAGGAAATCATGATAATTGTGCCGTCGCGTTAAAAGTCCTTTTTTGTGTGTTGGTTGGTTCGTTAGTTTACGTGTCAACGAGGCGTATTTTGAATTCTTTTTGCGACGTGGTATTTGGTGTCGAATGAAGGAACTTAGTTGTGTTTAACGCTGAACCGTATAACTCATTAAGAGATCGCTTTAGTTCCCTATTTATAATTTTGTGATAAGTGAATCCGGGACATTGAATGTCGAATTTCGAGCTACTGTCCTTACTGTGTCGGGTATCACATGTTCGATTCTACGATGAATGTGGAATTAGGCGAGTTTAAGTCGGTTAAATGTACAATGAAGCTAATAGACTGAAATAGTGATAATGAAGAAAGAAATGGTCCAGCGGTGGAGCCTGCTGGAGCGATGCAGCATTGTGGGGCATCCTGGAACTCGGCCGCTGCTGGTCGCCTAAGTTGGTCAAGGTCTCAGACATTTACACCTCACTGAACACTACTTTCTAATCACCTTACACCCTGACGGCCTGACCGAGCCTTGGTGCGAAGTTAGCTTCTGATATTGGTACGTACTATGTGTTTCTAGCATTCTCCCATATAGTTTATTATGACAGGACATTTCCATATGGCCATTGGGCCCGACCTGCGTCTGCCCGTCGAGGAAGCTGCTATAGGCCCCACCCAAGACGACCTTTGCAGGGGCAGCTGTAGGCCGTAACAATTGTAGTGACATAGAATATGAATTTCTTCTCTTTTTAGTAATTTTTTTACACAATCGGGGGTTCTTAATTACTGTTTTAACCTTTGAACTTGAAATTAATATTTATTTGGAACAACAAACGGTCACGCAATATGATATATATACAAATGCAATGTGTATATTTAAAGGCGCATTGTCATATATACTTTTATTGTTTGAACTTTGATTGTCTTCCTGAAGTCCTTCATCCAATTGTCCACTGTCAAGAGTGGCAATTAACCTAATCGCTGCGGCTTCTATTATATATATATTATATTCCAAACCAATGGCGATAAAACATGTGTCACTTAACGGCCGAAACAAAGGGCGAGCCATAAGCTTGCGGTAAAGATTAAGGTTGTTTTACTCGCGACTTGCCGTTACTGTTACACTGGCGAGCCAAAAGGTTATTTTTTAGTTTGTTGAAGTAACGTCCTAGATTACATCACCGCTGTTGCCGCCGGTATAGCTTGTCACCCCACAAACCGCGGTTTTGAAGTGATCCACAGCTGACATTAACCGGCGAGCCACCGAGACTGCGGTAATGCTCGTTCGTTGACTAGGGTTTTAACGAATGATGAGAATGAAGCACACAGAAATCAATGCATTGGCTATTCCGCGATAATATTCCAACCATGCAACCAATCGCTAGTTACGTCGGCGAGTTGTCTAAATAGCAGCTGTTTTTGGTTCGCCGCTCACTTGGCGATCAGCCACCGCATAGTCTACTACACCTGAAGAAGCCTCGTATAGAGGCGAAACACGTGTCATATTATCGTCGACGGTGTGTCTTTCCCAGTGTAGTGGTGGTGGGAGTACTGGTGCTGGGAGTAGTGGTGACGGGGATAGAGCACGCAATTGAGATAGGACGGGAGGTGTTCTACAAACTTGGTAAGACGCATCATTTTATTTTATTGGGCGGATATTGGCATCATTAAGTAAAATTTTTAATCTTTAATATAATGGATTTTTTGCAAAGTAACGCCAGATTCTATTAAATATATATGTGTAATATTAATAATTCGTATAGCAAAGAATGGAATAACTTGCCGGCGTCTGTCTTTACATACGATTACAATATTATGGGTATCAAGATAAGTTTGAATAGGCTTTTGTTACGTTACGACAGTGCGAATTACCATCTAGGGTTCTAGGACATTATCATTACTTACTACCAGGTGGGATTGTTGTCAAGGACTGGTTTATATGCTTATTGGTGCCCGTTTAAGTCTCAATTCTTTTATCGGCGAAATCGACAACCCCGAACGTTGTTTGTACCAATATCTTCACATTAATGTTTTTGGTGGGATGCTACTATTATCAACGGTCTGCTGTAATAAGCTGTTGTTAAAATCTTCCAAAACCTTTGTGATATGATTTATATTGCGAAGAATTTTATGAATAACGTCCCACTCTTCACATGTTAGACTAAACTGTATGTCTAATATCTTTGCCTGCCTTAATTAGTAAATCGTGAAACAAAAACAAGATACCTTACTTTGAGTAAGGTATGGAGTGCAGAGTACGAGGAGAACCATCTTATAAGGGGCGAAAGATGAAAAAGTGTCCTACTATTTACTGAAAATAGAGGTTCCAAAATCTACCACAATAGCGCTGGCGTCTGAAAAACTACGACATGAAGATAGCTGTTATGAACGGAGTGAAGTCAGCTGAATTCTAATATTTCAAATATTTCATGACTAGAGTAGTTAGTAAAACGCCAGTATACAAAATCTCAACTATTTACGTAGTATAAAACCATGCGGATTCGTCAGTCCTTGTTTATTTTTCCATCTTATTCTAATTACTTTTGGCGCTTTTTTTTTAATTTATCCTATGCTACTGCAGCGCCACCCTAATTGGACACGGTTTTAGGGACACTTTTCATATATAGAGATGGTCCTCCTTTTCTCTACACTCCATAGAGTAAGGTTAAAGATCCTTTAAACTTTAGGACAGTTACCTTGACAGTTACAGTTACTATACTCTTTGGACTTAAGTTATATTTCTTTAAAAAATGGATAATAGGAGCTCTCAATACAAAATTTTCTGTAGAAATCGTATGGGTATAGCAGTAAATAAATCATAGTTTCTTGTACTAAAATATCTCATTTGTAATTAATAGAATCAGGCGTTACTTTGCGGAAATCCATTATATAAAAGCTTTTAGAAAAATCTCATTTGTGTATTTTAAATATGAAAATTCTAATTAATTTGATTTAAAACGAAAAACCGACCAAGTTTTACGATACAATGATTTATATTATACTCGTACTCTATGGATCTACTAAAAGTGGCAAATTCAAATTACGATACTATGATGTTGTCATATTCTTAAAGTACTTTATAGAATAAGGTACAGAATAAGGTTTCCAGAGGCATAGTGTGGAGTAATATAGACGTGGGTGAATTCGCATCAGGGTGGCCCCTTTCCTCTCGTACCGCTGATCCACCCAATAGATCACAAACTAATAAGAAGTGCTCAATAGATCTATCTTACCAAACATGCTTTGACACGACATACCTACTCATAGCTATTAATTCCTGACAAATCTTGTACTCGGTCAATTTAACGGCGCGGCCTTTGAAGGTAGTTACAACGGCCTCGCAGTCCCACTAAAGAGGGGCTTCTTGCGAGGCCCCAACTTTTAAATTAATGACGTTCTTTTTCGAGCGTAAAAGTATAATAAAATTAATTATTCGTCTGCGGTAAAGTCTGAGGGCATCGCGTTTTAAGGGGGCGAGGGCTCACTTCGCCCACGCCTAGCTGCGCCACTGAAGGTTTTATAGAATAAGGTGATGGTGATGCAATTGCCACCCATTTTGGTTTTTATAGTTTGTGTTTAAATAAATTAAAACTATGGTTTTCCTTGTAAAGGAATTTATTATTTCTCGTCATATTAGACTGTATCTGGTAACTTTCAGTTAGAATACATTATGTTATTTACACAATGTGAACATACATAAATCTTAGTATTAATATTTTTACAGATGTGGTTTATATGTTGTAGATATTTATCCATTAATCCGGTATACTTGAAGGATTTTATAATAACAGAATAAATAAATAATACGTCATAATTATATTAACTCTTCATAACATTAAATTTAATAACATATTATTAATTGTATATTGTATATTATATTTATATATGTTTCATCATATTATATATCTTTCATACTCTCCAATGAGTTTCTTATCTATAGTCACGTGGCTGTAACAAACAAAACAAAATTAAATAATATTATTAAAAAATAATAAACAACACGCTTTGATCCTGAGCCGTGATGATCCTAGTTGGAATAATAGGTCATTTTCATGAAAATATACTGTCACTGGTTGTTAGTATGACTGAAAATATTCAGATTATTCATACGACATGAAGTGGGTTAGATTGAATTATGAAATTCCATTTCATTCATTACATACATACGTAGATACATATCTATAGGTCAAGCTAAATAGTGTATAAACTATATTGTTTGTCACAGCCCTTATATAATTTATATAATTGAGAACGGAATAAATTATGTCATGAATTGCAACAGTAATAATAATAGCAATATAAAAAAGAACACTAGTATTATAAAATTTACTATAGTCATAATACTAAGTTTAGGATGTTAATAAGTGATTATTTAAGCGCCTGCCTATTTATCAAAGGCAATCTTACACGCAAACCTTTTCATGTATACTGAAAATTTAGGCGCTAAGTGATAATGTCCAATTTTTACGTAACTAGTGAGCGATTACGTTCACTATACTAAGCATATCACAGTAAATAATCTTTCAATGGAATTGTTTGGCTTAAACACAATGAATTAATTACAAGAAGAAATCTTAATTAAACTTTTTTAAAGTACTTAATACACATAATGTATAGGTGAAGCAATGTTTTTCAATTTGGTTAATATGAAAAAATAATCTATAAATTTGGTTAATAATTTAAAGATTATTTTTCGCAACATATTGTGAAGCACTTTGTTAAAAAAATATAAAAATAATTTCCAATTTTTTGACACTGGCAAAAAATAATCGTAATATTACCAAAGAAATAAAAGACAAACTTTAATTGATTGAAGATGAGAAAGAAGTGACACCACCGATCCAACACCAACACAAAAAATTATTCTTACAATCTACACACATAAAATAACACGAAACTTACATACTAAGTATTTGTATCTCAGTATTCATAATAATATAAAAGTAGATATGTGATGAGGAAAACTAAGTCAAAGTCATGAAATTAAAGTGTATTAGGTCTACAAAATTTCAGATTATACATACATACAGGTCAAGCTGATGAAAGCATGTAAATATAACATTTTTCGGTGATTAATAATGAATTGCTTTAGTAATTTCTCTGCTCGTAAACGGACAATAAAAATTGCATCTTGCTGAAAATCTTTTTGAGAACTATGGCTCAACAATACTGGACGCGATATATTGCTGCAATATTATTATGCAATACCTCTTTTACGTGGCAGAGCTAAGCCGCAGCTATATTATGGTTGTGGCATGAATGGGTCGACTCGATCGGGATAGGACCACGCTCTCACAGAATACCAGCGTAAAATAGCAGTTTACCGCTGCTGTGTTTCGTATGGTGAGTGTAGAGAACTGGATACCCTGTTTACTGGATACGAGGCATTCCATCGTTAGTCCTCAGTTTGATTCTTAATTAAGGCATACATGAAGATGACTATGGGCCACAGCATCCACTTACCATCAGGTGGACTGGGTGCTCGCTTGTCACCCTTATTCTATAAAAAATCATTATTAAAGTGTCAGTTTTAACAAAAAAAAGGGTGGCGAATTGAAATTCTGCTGCCGAAAGCTCAATAACTTGACCAACACTGATAACAAAGTCAAAAGTAAATAGGAAATTTCCTTATAAAATTTGTTTTGCTTTTTGTTCTAAAAATATAAATCTTAGATTAGTTACATACAAACGTAGTACAAATAAATAAAATTGAAGTGTTTGTAATGTCAAAATAACAGCTTTTAATTAAATACATATGAAATTATATACGTCACATATAAGAAAAACACAATTTTGAAATATTTCTGTCTGTTTGTTCCCGCTAATCTCTGAAATGGCTGGACTGATTTTGACGGGACTTTCATTGGCAGATAGCTGATGTTATAAGGAGTAACTTAGGTTACTTAAATTTTAGAAAAAGAATTAGGATTCCACGCCAAAAAATTAAAACCCATTAAGTCCAATCCTAATAAATTACAAGCGGGCGAAGTCGCGGGGAACAGCCAGTTCGATAATAAAATTTATACAATCAATACATACATACATAGTTTTCATTTTCATGCACCATTTACGCATTATATCTAAAAACACACGTAGTTCTTATTAAAATGTCATTATTAAGTAATTTAAACTGATTTATACAGGTTTATATTTTATATACACACAGATTCTGGGCAGTTTCTGATATAAAATAGTAAAATCTTCCCAAAAATCTCCGATTGGCCAATACATTTCTTGGAGGGATTATCTAGGATTTAGGTAACTAGACATAATATGGCGCATCCAGGACTTTCTGGTCCTGTGGGCTTATTTTTTATCCTACATCGCGTTTAGTTTTAGCTCCGCCTCGTCCTTCGGTTTCTCGCTTATGACATCGCAAGGCCTGAAAAAAATTAACTACATTAGTGTTGTTTAATAACTGTAATAACTTTAGTAGTGTGTGTTAAATGTTTTCTGACTAAATCATATTTGTTATAAGAATAAGTCAGAGCACTTTTTGAAAGGGAAAACTTCATTATTCTACGTGGTAGAGCCATGCTGCAGCTATATTATGGTTGTAGCATGAATGGGTCGGCTCGAACGGGGAAGGACCACGCTCTCACAGAAAACCAGCGTAAAATAGCAGCTTAACGCTGCTGTGTTTCGTATGATGAGTGTAGAGAACCGGAGACCCTTTTTACTGGCAAAGAGGCATTCCATCTTAGTCCTCACGGGTGACAATGCATCTGCATCTTGAGTCTTTATTGAGGATAGATGTAGATGTCTATGGGTCACAGTAACCACTTACCATCAGGTGGACTGTGTGCTCGTTTGTCACTCGATCCTATAAAAAAAAGGAGTTTTGGTAGGTGCTATGGTTTGGGAATTCCCGACAATTTCAAAGTCCCGGGACGCGGGACTGCCTATAATCAAAGTTCCGGGAATTCCCGGAAGTTCGAGACCTTTAAGAAAAAACTTTTTTGTTTTTTTAAGATGGGTAAGCCTTTTTTGAAGAATTTTAATTGAGTTAATTTCTGGTGAAACGTATTAAAAAGAGGCAATTTTTTGTAAAAATCAACATTTATTAAACAATTAAACAGAAATTTAATAAAACTATTTTTTACGGATTTTATCGCGTTTAATTTACTATTTTAATTCCCGACGTTTCGGGTGCTTTACAGCAACCCATGGTCACGGGGGAGGGGGGGCACTGAGATGTTTGACGTCCTCATGTCACAGTTGGCTCGGTTACCTTCGGTTTTTAATATTAGTTTTTGGTTTGATTTACGCAGAATGAACTTACAGTATCTTGAAGTCTTGCAGTGGTATGCTTGGATTTGGATTTTGTTAATTATAGGATCCCAAGCAGATGGCAGCATTCATCCATCTTCTTTATTGAAATTAGGATGTTTTTTTATTTCAATAGCCTCGCGTATCGTCCTTGGTAGGAATCGGTGTTCTTTTGCGAGGATTTGTGGTCTACCAAGCGAGGCGAGGACCTTTAACATGTTCACATACTGCAAACTTCCCAGAGCGTTGGTGCTTCACGTCAGCTATATGTTCTTTCACGCGGGTTTTAATGGATCTTTTTGTTTGTCCTATGTAAGAGAGACCACATTCGCAATCAAGCTTGTACACTCCTGCATCTTGTAGAGGGATATTACACTTGACGGATGGTAAAAATTGACTAATCTTCTTCGGCGGTTTGAAGTATGTTTTAATAGAAGCTCGCTTGAAAATGTATCCAACCTTGTCTGTGACTCTTCTGACATAGGGTAGTACAGCCGAAACGTCGGGAATTAAAATAGTAAATTAAACGCGATAAAATCCGTAAAATGTAGTTTTATTCAATGTGTAGTGTTCGCGTGAATATAAGAAATCATTAATTAAACAGAAAATTAAATAACTTTAACGTTAATTTCAGTCTTAATAATTGCTTTGTTTATTTCTTTTAATCACACATAGATGCACTTCTAAACAGTTAAATCTTATATTTATGAAACGAACTTAGTTAAAAATCATACTAATTCTTAATAACTTTACTATTATCTAGTAATTCTAGTATCTACTAATCATTGTTTATAATCTCATTGCTAATTCTCATGATTACATATTTGTTTAATTTATTGTGTTGCGTACTCAGTAGTTACGTAGTAGACCAAGTAATTATTCATTAAACTAACACATGGCGCCAGGCTCCTTCAATTATTTGAAAATAACAATGATTATATAACCATTTCGTCAATCTTGTCTCGTCTCGAGTCTCGACCCGAAAGTCCCGGGACTGGAGACAACTAAAATTACGAAAAGTCCCGGGACTTCGAGACACGAGACGTCCCGGGACCCAAACCCTAGTAGGTGCACAGATTAATTAATAGTACAAGAAGTAGGAGACAAACTTATGGATTCGCGTCACAGATGACCTCGACATGCTCGACTCGTGGCGTCTCTTTCTTTTACTTTTTTTTTAAAAACGTTACCCCCACAATAGGATTTTCTCCTGTATCGTGGAGGCAGTTTACAAACATAGATTGCACGAGGACAAACATCCAGACCCGGAACAATTATTTGTAGGCCGTACAAATACTTGTTCCGTGCGGGATTCGAACCTGTGGCCCCCAGTACAACAACTCATTGCTAAGCCACTGCGCCACGGAGCCGTCATACTACGACATACGACATACACGTCTACTACGCCGCGTCGCTAATCTGGCGCAAGCCACGCGTAGTACCGCGGCGTTTGTACATGAATACGCATATATCATTGAGTTTCACTTCTGTCGGCGGTCCTTAAGACTGCCTCTGGTTTTTTTAATTTTTTCAGTTTCTAGTAGTGTTATTTATTTTAGAGTACAAATTGCAGGTAAATTTGATACTTGATATTTAGAATATTATGCTTGATTGCGATAGGTTTTATTCATTTATGAAAAGTTTACCGCCGAACAAAGGCCCTCTCTATTGATTGTGTCATAGGGAGTATAGTCATGGCCATAGTTGTCACGGTTGACAGGCAGGTTAGCAACGACGGCAGTCGAATTTCCCTAAATCCGTAGATTGGTATGAAAATTTCCGTAGAATTTCGTAGATGCTATTTCAAAATTTCCGTAGATATGCAAACTTCTTAAAAGGTTCGAATATTTTTGTTTTTGTCATAAAATAGATCAAATTTTTGGAGAAATTCTATCTGTCATATAAAATTCTTGCTGTAAGTTCAATTGTAGTATAATATCGAATCAAGCTGCACATCGAAAAAATACCGTTAAAAATTGTTTAAAAATTAATTGTTTTCTTTAATTAAATTATTTTTAGGAAAATATAAATAAAATAATTAACACTTAAATATATGTGGACGTACCTACTAATTCCATCGTGAAAAAAAAATCATCCAAAATTCAAATAAACGCACTTTTAAGTATTCGAAAAAAGAATGTCTGCCTTTCTTATATGTCAAATTCAATTTTCCCGCGGAGATAATGATTGTTAAAACTTTCTATTGTCGGTTGTCGGCTAAGTTCACACTCATGATGAAAAAGGTTTGTTTTTGTTAAGTTTTTTAAAATCTAATCATTCCGAAAGGACTGTGAAGTACAAAAAAGATAAATTAACATGGAAATCAAATTCCGTAAATTTGAAATCAAATTTCATAGTTCAGGAGACGATGAAAAAATTCCGTATATCTACGGAAAAATCCGTAGAGCTGGCAACGCTGAACCGCAGCCTCCTGTTCCATTATGTTATGTCGCGGTAGTGACGGAGCACGTAATTGTTGCAAGTGCTCTTCAAACTAGGTAGTAAATCATAACATTTTTAATTATTTATCACGCGGCTTAGCTGATTAATTTTTACACTCTTAATTTAAAATTGTTCAATGGCAACATAAGTGAATCAGCTACCCCATATCAACCAGTAAGAGGCGACATAGGGAAAAAACGGGAAATGGGCAGCAACGTTTTCCTGATAACCATTCAATATAATTAACTGCGGTCAAGAACCTGGCAACAGTCAAACATCCCTATGACGTAATCATTTATTTGCGCTTTTTATACATGGTAGAGCCATGCTGCAGCTATATTAGTAGTATAGTTGTAGCACGAATGGGTCGGCTCGACCGGGGAAGGACCACGCTCTCACAGAATACCAGCGTCAAATAGCAGCTTAACACTGCTGTGTTTCGTATGGTGAGTGTAGAGAACCGGAGACCCTTTTTACTGGAAACGAGGCATTCCATCTTAGTCCTCACGGGTGATAACGCATATACATTTTGATTCTTTATCGAAGATAGATGTAGATGTCTATGGGCCACAGCAACCACTTACCATCAGGTGGACTGTGTGCTCGTTTGTCACCCTTATCCTAATAAAAAAAAGAGACTTATGGGCATTTGAAAGGCTGTTATAAATGAATGAAATTAAATGAAAATTTAAAATAATAAAATAAAGTAATTAGAGGATCCAACCTGGAATATCTTGAATATTTATGTTTCTTTGCGCAACAAAGCACTTTGACCGCGAAAGCGACGAAGAACAGGGTCATCCCGGCGCAAATCGCCCCGCCCCAGTCGTATATCCCGCGCACTACGCGCAGCTCTGACAGCACCCGGTCTTCTACACGCACTCGCTGTTCCACCCAGAATATCGGGAACAGCATCTTGGGCACATTCTCATATAAACTGTAAAAGTATACACATAAACTGTTTTATACGTGGTGGAGCCATGCTGCAGCTATATTACGGTCGGCTCGACCGCTCGGTCGCCGCCGACGGGTGAGTGTAGAGAACCGAAGACCCGTTTACTGGATACGAGGCATTCCATCTTAGTACTCAGGGGTGAAAACGCATTTGTATTTGGATTCTTAATCGAGGATAAATGTAGATGTGGCCCATGTCACAGCATCCACTTATTATCACGTGGGCTATGTGCTCACTTGTCACCCTTTTTCAATAAAAAAAGGAATTATGGTCGATAGCCAATGACAACGTACCTTTGACAAATTATTATTACGTACATTTGACAAATTATTTGTTAATAATTCGAGTTAAAATTACGGCCTACATACTTCCCACTGCTGGGCACAGGCCTTCCCTCATTTCTGAGAAGGTTTTAGGGCAAGGAAGTGTCCGCCGCGCTGCCCGAAATGCGTGTTGGCGAACTTCACATGTCTTTGAAATATAATTTTTTTCTTATTTCTCAGACATGCAGGTTTCGTCACGATGTTTTCCTTCACCGCCGAGCACGTGGTAAATCAACGCTTACAATTGCAATTAACAATTTCATTGGTGCCGGCGGGGATCGAACCCGGGTTGCTCGCTGTAAGTTACGAATAATAATTTAAATAGAGTTCAATTGTGACGTCCGCTAACACGCGTTGAGTCAGAGCGGTAGACACTTTATTGTCCTAAACTCCTCTCAAAAACGCTCTCAGAAATGAGAGTAGAAGAAACACCCTAATTTCAACAGGATGGAATCCTATAATTAATAAAATTGAATTCCAACCCAAGCATACAACTGCAAGACATTTAATATCTACATATATAAGCGAATTACCACTGACTGACTGATTCATCACGAGATCTCTAAAACTATAAATCCGATTGATATGAAATTTAGTATTGTTACTCATTTTGCAATGTAGACTCTCACTAAAAAACGGATTTTACGATAGTCCAATCAAAAAAAAAATTAATAGGTTCCGCAATCAAATATTATCGTGCGCCCAGCGAAGCGAGCGGGTATCAGCTAGTAAGTTAATTAAGCGCGTTTTAACTGACATGTTTTTTTTTTGGTATTTAACTACTAAGCACAGCTCATTATCTTTTAACGAATGAAGTAAACATGAAACAACTTACGCGATGTTTTCGTTAGGTTCCATCCACACGTTCAACTGAAACCGCGCTGCGACATCCAGAGGCACTCCTAAATTCTAAACGGACAATAACAGAGCATTAATAATAAAATAATCCTATACATGCTAAAATAATCTTACTATTTAACTATACATTCATTCAAAAGTGTCTCCCACACAGAAGCGGCTTGCGGTGGCGGCCAGTTGTATTTGCTTGCAATGTAAGTGAGTCTCCAAACCCATGCGGCCATGCCGCGGCCTGCGAGCGGCTGGGCGCGGCCGCATGCTCCGCCCCTTCTGCCAGCGCGTGTGTGTCAGCGAGTACTCGGTCAGTCGGTGGCTGCAGCGCGGTCAGTTGTAAATTTTTACAACAGGCCGCGTGTACCGCGTGAAAAATTGTGCTAAATTTAGAGATTTTAATAGAAACAGTGCAGAATTATCTAGTACTTTATGATAATTCGCATCGTGATCACAAAAGCATTAGTATTAAAACAAAATATATGATAATATTGCTGAATATAATAAAGACTTCGTCACGGTTTGTCATGTTCGTACGTCCGATCGTAGCACAGACACCACAACGAATGGCGCTTCAGGCCGCCACTTGGGCCGCGGTGGTGTGGTGTGTTACAGCGGCTGCAGCCGCGGCCCGCGGTTAGTCGCCACCGCAAGTCGCTTGTGTGTGGGAGACGCTTTATTCATTAGTGTCTACCAAAATCCATTGCTAAAAACAGTCTTCCGCCATACCCATACATTTTAAATTTGTACTTAAATATCAAAGAATTTAGACATTTCATCCGCTCCGAATGATTGTAACTATGTGTATGTTTTTCCATTTTTTTGTAATATATTTATTCCTTAAATTAATTTATTTGCTGATAATGTAAATATGGGTAATTTTAGTAATTTTAGAATGTTCCTTGTTTTCAATTAATTTATGGAAATAATTTCCACTCAATTCTCACTCACATTACTCGATCTCCTGGGGATACGGTGCGTCACTTAGCAGTGAGTGCATGCATCTTGTCGAATTTGAGGTCACCCCGATTGGTGGATCACTCCCATAAGCGTGAATACACATTTCAACCTCACAGCGAATATTACCTAAATCTAGGAAGTGAGATTCTAGGGTACGGTGTGTCACATAACAGTGAGTGCACACACCTGTCGGTACGACATACTCCATAAATTATACAATATTTTATACGTGATAGAGCCATGCTGTAGTCGTAGCACTAATGGGTCGGCTCGACCGGGGAAGGACTACGCTCTCACAGAATACCAGCGTAAAATAGCAGCTTAACACTGCTGTGTTTCGTATTGTGAGTGTAGAGAACCGGAGACCCTTTTTACTGGAAAAGAGGCATTCCATCTTAGTCCTCACGGGTGACAACGCATCTGCATTTTAATTCGCAAACGAGGATAAATGTAGATGTTTATGGGCCACAGCGACCACTTAACATCAGGTGGACTGTGTGTGTGTGCTCGTTTGTCACCCTATACGATAAAAAAATGTTCCTTGTTTTCAATTAATCTATGGAAATAACAAAACATGGCAGTAATAACATAGCACCGCCATGTTAATTGGTTTTGATATTTTTTAATATTTCTTTTTTGTTAATATTTATTTATTTATTTAGATAGATACACCGTCGATAATATCAATAAGCATTGTTGCAAAAAACAACAGCACAATTTTTTTTAGACAAAGGATACGTCTTTATAGATTCTATCGTAAAAAATATTCCCTGTGGTGACATATCCAGGGAGTAAACAGATGATACGTCTGTACTAAAAGCGGCCTGGATATCCTGGAATATATTAAAACTAACACTATATCATCTAAACTAGAAACTATTGAGGAAGCTTTGCACAATGGTACCATTTTTTTAGGAATAAGAGTAGCAAACGAGCACACAGTCCACCTGACGGTAAGTGGATGCAGTGGCCCATAGACATCAACGTCTATCTTCGATTAAGAATCAAAATGCAGATGTGTTACCGCTGAGGACTAAGATGGAATACCTCTTTTCCAGTAAAAAGCGTCTCCGGTTCTCTTTACTCACAATACGAAACACGGCAACATTGAGCTTCTATTTTATGCTAGTATTCTGTGAGAGCGTGGTCCTTCCCCTATCAAGTCAACCCATTCGAGCTACAACTATATAACTCGATATTCACTGACCGGTTCCACAGCGAAGTAGAAGGAGTGTTTCTCAGGGTCAGGCTCCATGCCGTTGACAAGTTCTCGTAATTGTGGGTCGCCGTACAAGAAGTGTGGTAATGAGAGGAATGATGGCGACCCGTAGCGACACGATGACACGTTCATCACCCCACTCCAAGCACACTCGCCGTTGCAGAAACACGAGTTCGATGGTGATGATGATGCTAGAGAGAGAGAGAGAAAAACAAATTGTATTAAAATTTGTAATATATTCGATTAAATAACTCATACTTAAGTACTAATAACCACTGACTCATGGCCAACTACTCAAATGCTACTCAAATTCAAGATGTCGTTAAGCCTCGTGGTCTCACAGTCACTGATAGAGAGAGCTCATCAAGAGATCTCCAAAACTATACGCCCGATTGAGTAAAAATTTGGCATTTACTCCTATACTCCTGGACGCAGACACCCACTAAAAAAGAAAATTAGAAAAGAAAATTCAACACCTGAAGGGGTGAAATAAGGAGTTTTTTTATAGGAGAGGGACAAACGAGCATGCGGCTCACATGTCGATAAGTGTCTAGCGCCGCCCATGAACAACTACTAAGACTGCAACACCAGGGGAACCAGGGGAAATGCAGACGTGTTGCCGGCGTTTTAAAAAGGAGTATGCTCTTTTCTTGAAGGTCCCTAAGTCGTAACGGTCCGGCAAAATCGCTGGTGGTAATCGATTCCACAAGGAAGTAGTCATCCAATCATCTAGATGGTGTGGATGGTATCGGGAGTTCTGCCGCTATGTGTGTTCGTGAAATTTGGCTGCTGGGATTAATCCGAACAATACCTTAGAGCACACCCCGTGGTAAATGCGAACGAAAATGCAAAGGGATGCAACATCTCTTCGCAGCGCCAATGAATCGAGCCGATCGGAAAGAACTTGGTCGTTGAAGATTCGAGCCGTTCTGCGCTGGATGCGGTCAAGTGGAAGGAGCTGGCACTGGGAAGCCCCAGCCCAGAGATGGGAACAGTATTTCATGTGAGGCTGAGCACGCCAAGCTTTTTAGGGGCCAATTGGGCCTTCTCTTCCAAATGGAACAACGAAACTGCACGTCACTCGATAATGCGACGCCGAGGATTCCGATACTGGCTGAGGCAGCAAGGGGAGTGCCTTGAAACTAAGAAGATAAGACAATAGGGAACTTTTTAGCAATAAACCTTGTGAGTAAATCTTCTGAGGGTTAAACTGGATTTAGTCGCACCCAATCCGAGACTTTGTTAAGCAAAGACTCGACTTCTGACACAAGTTTGTTCCGGTACTCAATGACGTTTTCCCTAGAAATATTGGCAAGGTCGGTGTATAGAGCATCACCAATGCTGTCATCCGCATAGCAATGAATGTTACTGGTTTGTAACATATCATTGATATGCAGAAGAAACAGCGTTGGTGATAGCACGCAGCCTTGTGGAACACCAACGTTAATAGACTTGTAGTCGCTTGGTGCCAGACCCGAACGAAGGCCTTCGCTATGTCCAAACTAACGGCCAATGCCTCCCCTTTGGACTCTACTACCTCCGCCCATCTATGAGTCAGGTAGACCAGAAGATCACCAGCTGATCGACCCCGACGATAACCTGGCGGTCACTAATCAGATGGTGATCGTCAAGGTACCGCATGAGCTGGCAGTTTATAATGGATTCCATTATGTTGGAGAACAAGGAGGTGATGGTGATAGGCCTGTAGTTGGAGGGGTCTAAGCGGTCACCTTTTTTAGGGATCGGGTGGACAAAAGCTATTGCTACATGATTTCGGGACTACGCCTAGGGAGTTGGAGTACCGGCAAAGACGCGTTAAAACTGGTGCCAACTCTGGAGCACACGTCCTCTGCACAATTGTGGGGATTCCGTCAGGCCCACTCGACTTCTGAATATCCAGGGAGAGGAGTGTTTTGTAAACCGAGCGCTGTGAAAACCGCACATCCGGCATGGAGCACTCACATCGCGGGATGGTTGGCGGTGTGTTCCTCCCGTCATCAAGAGTCGAGGCAAAGTTATACTTATTTTTATGCGCGCTGATGTTTACATCCCGAGCCGTCAAAGCCCCAGCCCAGGCCTGATAACACTCCTGCTAACTGCGTAATGCAGTCTTACAGGAGCGACCAAACCAAGGCTGAGATCTGCCTCCGATGGGTACCACAGATGATGGAATAAATAGTTCCATTCCCTGTAGCACCACATCTGCGACAGAGTCAGCAACAGTGCTGGTATCATCTGGCGAGAAACAAACCCACTCCCATGGGTAGGATGCAAAGAAAGACCGCATTCCGTCCCAATCCGCCGACCTATAATGTCAAACACGGCGGCAACCTGCAGAACGCAACCGTGAGGGGAGCGTGAGTGGCACGACACTCCGGATCAGACAATGGTCCGAAGAGCCGAGAGGGCCATCGACGGAAACCTGATATCCATCTGGAGAGAGGTCATGAGAAGGTCAGGTAAGGAAGGTGTATGATTCTCCACATCTGTAATCCGCGTAGGCGAAGTAACCAGTTGTGTCAGATCATATGCCAAGGCAAAGTCATAATTTTTTGTTTGATTGGTTAAACGTGAACCGGGCCATTCGGCGTGGTGGGCGTTGAAATCGCCAAGGATCACGATCTCTGCGGATGGGACCTGTTGTAGCAAGGAATCTGTAGCCATTTGGAAGTAGTCGATGAGTCGGTCTGTTTCGGCATTACCGCTATGGGGCCTATAGAGGCAGCCGTAGACGCGTGGATGGTCGTCGTTGTCTACGCGTAACCAAAGGATGGACAGTTCCGAACCTTCAAGACTGCCGAAACGTCCTTCTCCGACGTATACGATAACTCCAGCCCAAAGCACAAAGGAGTGCTCCAATTTGTACCCCGGGTAGGAGAGATACGAAGTATCAGCCGGAGAGGACACCTGCGTCTCGGTCAGAAAGAGCAAAGCCGGCTTCGCCGTCTCGAGATGGTAGTGGACGGCGTTTAGGTTCGAGTGAAGTCCCTTGATGTTGCAGAAATTAACGGATAGCGTGGCAGGGGTCGCCTTGGTCTTGTTGCTCAGTTTGCGCCTTACCCCCCCCCCCCCCCCCCCCCAGAGTACGTGAGGCAGCCTGACCACCCACGCTCAGGAGTGGAGTAGCATGGTCGTGGATGTTCAGCGAGGGATTCTCCAGGGGTGCTGGGGGTAGTTTTTGATTTAATTCCGCTACCATGTTGATGGGGGGGGGGGGGGGAATTGGGTCTCCGGCCACTTGCACTCACCAGACGAAACGCAGAAGCAGATCTTCCACTTCACGCTGGTATTCTGTGAGGTCGAGGTATAGTATAGTAACAAAACCGTATTCTCTCTTTCAAAGAGAGAACTCTTTGCCTTGAAATTATCGATAGTGTAATTGGACGAAAAGACGCAGTCAAATTGTTCCACTTGCATTTTTAAGTGCTTATTTACTACATGCTCGGTGGTGAAGGAAAACATTATGATGAAACCTGTTAGTCTGAGAAATAAGAAAAAAATATTTCGAAGACGTTAAATTCACCAACACGCATTTAGGCAGCGCGGCGGATATTTTCTTGCCCTAAAACCCTCTCAGAAATGAGAAGAGGCCTGTGCCCAGCATTTTCCAGCATTCTCATCCCAACAATTTCTCCCTTACTATATGACTTATTAGATGATTTGAGTGGCAGTGAAGACAATAATTATCAGAAATGTACACTTAAAGACACATCACCTATGCTTCTGTCAGCAGAAATGAAACCTGTATTTAAAAAGCATAAAATGAAGCAATTAGACTTTTATTTATAAATGAAGCAATTAGTCGGACGCGTATATAGGCTGTAACTTTACTTTACTATAGGTTGTTAAGGAAGAAGAATAATCAAATCAGTAAATTGAACTTACAGTTGTCGAAACTTGTCTCCGTGAGAGCGTATTTGTGGTAAGGCAGACCGGCTATCTGCCCACTGTCGGTGTGCTGCATGTGAACCGTGCGGCACAGGTCCGGCACGAACAGGGTAAGGCCTGAGTCCTCCGTCAGATTGTGCGGCATGAACTCGCCAGCACTACCCGCAAGCTGTGTATATGATGTAGTGTTTTTTTTTTTTTTAAATAGAATCAGGGCGAAAAACGAACACTCAGTCCACTTGATGGTAAGTGGATGTTGTGGCCCACAGACATCTACATTTATTCTCGATTGAAAATTAAAATGCAGATGCGTCACCATCCCTGAGGACTAAGATCACCTCGTTTCCAGTGACAAGGGTCTCCGGTTCTCTACACTCACCATACGTAACACAGCAGCTTGCTCCTGCCCCGTTCGAACCAACCCATTGGTGCTACAATCATAATATAACTACAGTATGGTTCTACTACGTATGAGTACCTCATATATCAGTTAGAGTTAGGGTTGTCACCTTTATTAGATTAAAATTAGTATTTTTCCCAAAAAAGATGCACAAATAAAGACTTTTGGTAAATTCAGGAAAAAGTACACATTTATTTTTAATCTTTATGCATTTTTCCTTTAAACCTTTAAAATAATTATAGGAATCTTAGCAAATTAAAATAAATTAACAATTCATATTTAATTAAATTTATTATCTATTTCTTTCTTCTTTCCATTTAACATTCATGAGGGAAAAAAATATTTCCGTAAAACTTACTTGTTGCGCGCGACATTTGAATTAAAGCTAAAAATATAGTATTTTTCATACTATATTACTTTTCTATAATATATAGTACAATTGACTGAATTATAGTACGATACTATATATTATGGTACGGCTGGAAACCCTAGTTAGAGTGGCAGTTGACTTCGTTAAATGAGAAGCGTATTACGATTATTCAGCAATGAACTGGTTGATCATGACGTATTTGTATAATAACATCAGCAGGATCTTTTTTAATTTTTTTTTTAATAAAACGTTACCTCCACTCTAGGATTGTCTCCTGTATCGTGGGGGCAGTTTACATACATAAATTTCACACGGACAAACACCCAGACCCGAAACAATTATTTGTAGTTCATACAAATACTTGTTCCGCGCGGGATTCGAACCCGCGGCCCTTAGTGCGGTAACTCGTTGCTAAGCCACTGCGCCACGGAGCCATCAATTCAAACCTTATGACTCATAAAGTAAAACATATCGCGGTTCAGTCAAAAGTGTTCATGATGCATACCTTCGAACATTTACCGCTACCGTAATACGGCAGGTGGTCGAGATGATTCCACTTCAAGATCTGTCCAGGCAGAGAGCCACTGAGAGCGCCCGTGGACACCTCCATAAAACCATCCGTGTCTATTGAGTTGTTTCTCTGGAATAATAGAATGATTTTTTTATATTAAGCTGACAAACTAAGCCTTGGCGGCTCAGTAGCGGAATAGATATGCGTTTTGTGGTGTCTCTGCGGAGCCGCAAGTTCGAATCCCGAACGGAATAAGTGTGTATATGGCCTTTGAACTATAAATCACTTAATATCGAAGAAATCAAAAGCTTTCTCATAATTCGTCTACATACGCAAGACAAAGTGGCAGATTGTAATTTTCGGTTTTATGTATAATTTGCCGAAGGTATCTACTATTGTCTTTTTTAGTACTTTATCGCATAGCAAAACGTAAATTAGCACTTAAGAATGTGATCATCAATACCAAGGGTGCCGGCACACAAATTGCCCCTAAATAATGTCACTCTAGAAGATTTCAGTACTCTCGCTAACAGAACCACGATGCGGCTGTATTCAAGTTGTAGCACGAATGGGTCGGCTCGACCGGGGAAGGGTCAATCTCTCACAGAATACCAGTGTAAAATAGCAGCTAATGCCTGCCTTATCCCTTTTTACTGGGAACGAACCATTCCATCTCAGTCCTCAGAGGTGACAAGGCATCTGCATTTTGATTTCTAATTGAGGATAGATGTGGGTATCTATTCATAGGGAGGTATTTGCCATAGTTGCCACGCTTGGCGAGCGGGTTGGCAACCGCAGTTTTTTATTGTAATTTGGCTATTATCAGGAAGATGCTGCTGCCCATCTCCTGCCTGTTTCCCTTTGTCGCCTTTTACGACACCCACGGGAGGATATGGGGTAGTGGATATTCTTGACCGCCACTACACGGCTATACGGCTCCTTCACTGCTGGCCGTATGAGGAAGCTCAAGGTCGCTCAGCGAGCTATGGAGAGGGCTATGCTCGGAGTTTCTCTGCGTGATAAACTTAGGAATGAGGATATCCGCAGTTGAACTAGAGTGACCGACATAGCCCAACGGATTAGTAAGCTGAAGTGGCAGTGGGCCGGCCATATAGCTCGAAGAACCGACAACCGATGGGGAAGAAAGGTTCTCGAGTGGCAGCCTCGTACCGGTAGGCGAAGTGTAGGTCGTCCCCCCACGAGATGGAGTGACGACCTGGTAAGACATGCAGGAAGTCGATGGATGCAGGTGGCTCAGGACCGTGCTTTGTGGCATTCTTTGGGGGAGGCCTATGTTCAGCAGTGGACTTGTGAAGGGCTGTAATGATGATGATGATGTGGGTATCTATGGGCCACAGCATCTACTTACCATCAGGTGGACTATGTGCTCTTTTGTCAACTTTATTCTATAAAAAAATGGAATATGCCAGAATCTTATGGCTTTCGGTAGATGGCGGTGTAACCACCTCGCTTATGCCAGATACCCACCCATAAAATTACGTGTAAAATACCCACAACGGTAACGAGGCTCAATCAAGGGTTAGTGTACAGTGCAATCGTACATTTTTATTAGTAAGCGATTTATTAAGGTCAACAACACAATTTCAACAACATTATTTATTTGCTTCATTTACTTTATTTTTCAAGCAGTCGCGTTTTCATTCCGTACACTACGAACGTATTCTACGAGTATTAAATTATCAATTTTGTATCAATATCATTATCAGTTTAAATAAAATATTTTTTTCTTATATCATATATCATTTAAACGTGTTCCGTACAGTTGGAGATGTCTGGTTCTGAGATCTTTAATCCACCTATTAAGCGCTACAATTAAGGCAAATCCGCATCTGTGTACTTTTAGGGGCTGACGATGAAGGAAATTAGAATCCATATTTAATAAAGATAGTTATAGCAGACCATATAGTATTTACATATTAAGACCGGCGATGAGATTTAGTATCAAATGTGCGAAGAAGTTTCGCACCTGCCAACAATGAGAGCTAATAATTTTCTGCTCACCAGATGTCGCTAGTTGACACTGAGGTAAAGTTTTTTTTTGTTACACAATGTAATTTAATTGTGAAGTTGGTTTTTTTTATAAAAGTTTATCAGTTTCAAAACAATGCGTAAGTGGTTTGCTCTTTAATTTTAAGCACATTTTAATTTTTTAATATTTCTACCTTTATGAATATCTGTGGTTTGGTTTATTTATTTTTAATTTTATTAATATACAATATAGCCAATAGTACATAAAGAAACAATAACCTTTATATTTTACGAACTAACTTAACTTCCTCGCTAGGAAATCTGTCAAATGTTATTATACCTCACTTTCTAGTGGCGCCGCCCTGGTGGCAGGAAAGCTTGTGGATTGGCCCTCATTGTTTTTGGAACCCAGTGTTGACTGGCAGAGAATGCCACATCGCATTAAGCCCGCCCTTTGGCATTAAGCCGTACCTTAGCTTTAATGTGTTACATTTAAGCTTTTAAATAAATAATTAAGACTGGTAATGTGACAGCGGTGATGAAAAACAAACAATAGCTATATCTATATCTATATATATGTATATACCCCATAAAATAATCCGAATCTGTCCACTGGTGGTGCCCCACCAGTCGTGCTCTCTGGCAAACTCTTCGCTAGATCCAGTAGTGGATCGTCGTAGCCCTCGAAGAGCAGTTCACCGGCCAATTTGGATATCGAAATACCCTCTCCGAACATCGCCAGGCCCATCGACAGTCCCTTCTGTCTGATGAAGCCCCAGTCCCTGGATCTGTAAACTGCTGACTGAAATAAATGGAAAAAAATGCAATGAATTTAAAAGTAACGGCCTATTTTAATAACCATCAGTTAGACTGTGTGTCTTGTGGAGGGAGGGCTGGCGGGGGGAGTACCAAAGGTAGGAAACGTCTTCAAGCGTGTCAATTTAGGCAACGCAACAGATGTTGGCTATGATAAAGGACCTAATTCAAGTCACGAGAGGTGAGGCTATAGGCTAGGTACAAATAGCATTATAACTACCAGTATCTCAATCATATAAAGTGTAAAATGCACATAACACTAAACAAGAGGACCTTTGTATTACGTATATAAACTTTTATAGAGTGGTAGAGTCATGCTGCAGCTATATTACAGCGAATGGGTCGGCTCGGTCCAGGACCACGCTGTCACAGAATACCAGCGTTACCTCATTTCCAGTAAAAAGGGCCTCCGGCCACCTGCACTCACCAAGCGAAACGCAGAGGTAAACCTCTACGTCACGCTGGTTTTCTGTGAGGTCGTGGTACCACCCCGGATCGAGCCGGCCCATCACATTTTTTGCTATTTACAAACATGCGACACGCGACTTCATTATTAATGAAAGAGTGGCAATGAAAAGTATTAAACTAATAACCAATATATGCTGATATTGCATTAGTAGGCAGTCACTAGTACTGGGAGGTCTACTTAGTAAACGACTTACTACTGAAATTTTTTTTTAAAAGGTAATTGGCGTTATACTTGAAAAAAATCGAAAAATCAAAAAATAAATCTGTTACTATGGCGTCAGTAACTAAGTACCTAATTATCTAGATCTACCTACTCGTATAAATAATAATATAATTTTGATTACACATATCCCATAATATATTTTGTGAGCGATATAAATAAATTAATGTGCCAATTAACTCTTTCGTCCATGTGACAAACATGTTGTCGACAATTGATGTTGCCGCCAAAAATGGAAGCACGGTTCCCAACATTGTTTACAAGTTTTGTTGCCAACACTAGATAATTTCAGAAATATTTGTTACCAACTTTTGTGTTGTCAACACGTGTTGGTAACAAATGTTTGGTGAGACGCGGCTTTAAATACCTACGTGGTAGAGCCATGCTGCAGCTATATTAATAGTATAGTTGTAGTACGAATGGGTCGGCTCGAGCGGGGAAGGGCCACGCTCTCACAGAATACCAGCCTCAAATAGTAGCTTTACGCTGTTGTGTTTCGTATAGTGAGTGTAGAGAACTGGAGACCCTTTTTACTGGACAAGAGGCATTCCATCTTAGCCCTCACGGGTGACAAGGCATCTGCATTTTGATTCTTTATAGAGGATAGATGTAGACGTCTATGGGTCACAGCAACCACTTACCATCAGGTGGACTGTTTGCTCGTTTGTCACCCTATACTATAAAAAAAATCAGATATGATACTCAAAAATAAAAATAGCATATTTTTTTTTATAAAAGAGGAATGGTAAGTGACTGCCGCCACCCATGAACAACCGCAACACCAGAGGAATTGCAGATGCGTTGCCGGTCTTTTATAAAGGTGTGAGCTCTTTCCTGGAAGGTCCCTAAGTAGTATCGGTCCGGAAAAATCGCATAAATTTAAAGCTCTATAAAAATACCATTAAAATATATATAATTTATTATTTTGTATTTGATTTTATGTATTTTTTTTTACCGATGAAAATTTGTTGTAACCTCGAAATGGTTTAAAGTTACCGATTAGTGAAAACTTACTCTAACGTGTCTCTTGGCCTCGTTAGAGAAAATTTGTATGAATTATCCCAAAGGGGATCTCATTTTCGTGTCTCTTTCCCTTTGGGACTCGCCATATGATCGGATTTATATTACTAACTGACGACTCGCTCGGTTTTGCCTGGATAGGATCGATTGCGTGGTGTCATTTAGATATAAGATAAACACCGTTTCTTTATCAATTTCATGCCTAGCGCAAAGCGCGTAGGTATATTCTACTAGCGCCTAAAATCAAGATTCCAACCTTTTGTCGCATAAAATCATATCTAACAATCATATTAAACATATAAATGATATAAATAGCACATTGTCAAAAAGATTAAATGATTGTTGAACTTATTAATAAGTTTTTTAAATCGATTAATTGCTATTTCTACATAAAAAGTGGTTTTAGTGGCTTATGGTGTAGATTTATCAATTCCGCGTGGAGTGATAAACACGATAACTTTTGAAAATATCAATTGTTCAACTCAATCTATTTTTAATCTCTTCATCTATCATGTGGGAAGCCATGGATTGTAAATGGTAGTTTAATTTTGTTTTGTTTAGTTATAATTAATTTGTTTCGGCTACGAAATTTCGAAATTTTCGGTGTTTTAGCAGTCTTGTATTAATTTATTTTTTGTAAATAGACTGCGGTAGTCTGACTGCCTCACTCAATTCGGCGTCAACCGGTGTCGTTAGTGGATATTGTATTGGTTGTTTGTAGCGGCTATAAAGATCGCTGTACAAATACAAAATATTCCTAAAACCAAATTTCATACATACTTGATTATTATAATAATCAGAGATTTTTATTACAGTATTGCAAAAGTACAGAATAAATAATAGTAGTACGTACTAAAAGTAAGTAGGATGTAAATATTTAAGTATATTTATATTTAAATACGATATGATGATCATATGCACATTATGAGTCGTGCACTTTTGGATTTTCCAAACTTTTTTTAAATTGAAGTTTGTCATAAAATTATTGGAAAATTGGAAGTATAATAATAAGGTTATTAGTGAAAACTTGTGTGTATTTAAACTACTTTAAAAAATCCGTATAATCATGTTATACGTAATTTTTTAATACGCTTAGGGCATGCACAATTGGATTTATCAATAGTTTTTTTTTCGTTTTCTAAAAACAATTTTTCGGATAATATATAGTCTAGATCCCACCTGGCACTTGTCTCTATCTGTTCGTATAGTTTCATCACAATCGATTCAGCCAGTCCGAAAATTAGCCTGGACAGAAAAACGAATACACATACAGACGGACAGACTGACAAAACTTTTAAAAATGGTTGTTTATGTCCTAACAACATGCAAATAAACACCTGAGCTTAATAGAAAGACAGTTATTTCAATATTACAGACAGACATTTCAATTTAGTATATATTATGTATAATATTTATTAACTTAACGATTGCCTCGTTGTTGTAAACGCATCATGAGATCGCGGGTTCGGTGGCGGTGTCATCACCCCCGTGCCTCGGAAAGCACATAATGCCGTTGGTCATGTGCCAGATATCTCTCCAGTCGTGTCGGGTTACCATCCCGTTGGACTATGAGAGTGAGGGAATAGGAGTGCACCTGTGCTTGCGCATACACTCGGGCACTAAAATCTTGTACTGCGCAGAGGGCTAGTCTCCGTAGAGGCTGACCGCCGTGACCGAAATTCGGACTATTTACTATAAAAACAAAATTATTAAAGAGTCCTATCCTTTGTAGGGTTCCGTACCCGAAGGGCAACCAACGGGACCCTATTACCAAGCCTCCGCTGTCCGTCCGTCTGTCTGTCAGCGGGAACACAAGGCTGTATCTCATGATCCGTAAAGGTAGACAGTTGAAATTTTCACAGATTGTGTATTTCTGTTGCCGCTATCACAACAAATAGAAATAAATAAAAGGGGGGCTCCCATACTAGACACGTGTTTTGCGATTGTACGGAATCCTTCATGCGCGAGTCCGACTCGCACTTAGCCGGTTATTTTATAAAACTGAAGTGACAAACGAACTTACATTGTACCTGATTACAATGTAAGTTACGTATGGCAATTCAAAATGTTGTGTATTTACTTTAATGTATGGTAGTGAAAGTTGGGTGTGGCAGAAGAAGCACGAGGATGAATCTGAATGATAGGCTGAGAAATTGTTTGATAAGAGAAGAGTGTGGTTTGCAAGATGATGTTTTGACCAGGATTAAGAAGGGAATGCTTCGGTGGTTTGGTCATATAGAAAGAATGAATAAGGAAAGAGTGATAAAGCAAATTTATGTTGCAGAGGTAAACGGCAGAGTCGGTAAGCGATGCCCTAGGCCAGGGGTCGGCAAGCTGCGACTCTTTGGTTTCATAAGCAAATATTATTTATTTTATATTAAAAAAAAACATTTAAAAATCGATCCACACTGAGCCATTTGGAGTTGATACTGGATCTCTAGAAATGCAATTGATCAATTAAAAAAGTAAAGCTTTGTGGAGTTGACAATGTACAGAGTTGAAAAGCAAGTTGAAAGAGTTGGAGGTCCAGAAATGTATGTACGTAACACAACAAAATAGAACAGCTTTAAAAGAAATGCCACGAGTTGAGGCACTTATATTCGCCACATGGAATAGTCTTCCAGATTGCTACAGTGAGGTGAAGAAGTTGGAATTTGGAGTACTGACTATCTTCGGATCGGCATATTCGGGCAATCAAGCGTTCTCTTGCATGAATATAATTAAAAGTAAAGTAATAAGCCAACTAACAAATGAAAATTCAGAGTCGTGTTTGAAACTTAAAACAACAAGTTATGAGTCAAATTTATCCAAACTTTCTACAACCATGCAAAGCCAACGCTCCCATTGAATTTGTTTGCTTAAATGTAAGTTATTGTTTTTTTATTTTTAAGTAAAAATTAAATTGTTTATTAAATTTTAAATTTTCTACTTGAATAACCATACAAAGCCAAAGCTCCCATTGAATTTGTTTGCTCAATTGTTTGTTAGTGAAGTACAAGTTAGTGTTGTAAGACTTACAATGTAAATAAATGTTTAATTGTTTTAATTTTTTTACTTAAATAATAAGTGATTATCTAATAATTAGATAATAATAGAAATTAGATTCTAATTTATTGTGAAAAACACTATTTATATATGAATACATAAATGTATATGACGGCACCTGCACCGTTGTAGATGCGGTGGCGTCGGTCTAGCTAGACAGAATTCTTGTAAACGACACGTGTACCGCACACCTGCGGCATTGCACCTGCGTTGCCGCCCGTCCTGCTTGTATAAAACGGACTGAGCGGCCGCCGTTAAGACAGTCTTGGCTCTGACGTAGAATGGTGCGCTTGTCGTATTCCGTTACTAGTTTATCCTCGACTCGTTGGATAATTAATTCGTGTAAACGAATTAATTATTATTGCTAACTACAAAATCAGTCTCTGTACTATACCCACTATACTTTCTACATCAGAAGTGGGATAAAGTCCCCATTATTGCCCACATATAATCTTCGAATAGTATGAGGATTATTACATTTGTCAAAGACTATAACGCATTCCGCATTGATGAATCTGTTTTTATATTAAATACCGTAATGAAATTTGCTGTCCTACTTACGATATTGTTGTATCACTAAAGTGTAGAGAAAAGATAAATCCTTTTGTTCGATTTGTATTAAAAGTACCCGCAAGTATTTTCTATTTCTTGACGTACCTAAATATGTTAACAAATGTCAAAAGAAATGTTGGAGGCTTTCTAATTAACTTGTTCAAGTTTTGTTGTAATTTGATAGTTCACGCGAAACATGATTATCATTTGCTATATTTTCAAGTTCAAAACGTTTAAGGGTTGTACTAAAATAAAGGATTAACTTTAACACTCTATTAATTGAAAATAATAAGTGACATTTTTGTGTTCTAATGTGTTGATCAGTGTTGCAGTTTGCTCCGAATATTGTGTCATTGACAAGATTGGGGTTTGATGTCAAGGGATTCGTAGAAGTCTCTACAACATGATCAATGAGGAAGGCGTTGTGATAGCTAATCGAACATGGTCAGGTACGGCCGAGCGCTGTTTAGATTGAGCCTACACCGCTACAGTCGGTTACTTATCGGCTGATCTTACGGGAGGGCAATTTAAGCGGCCGCCGAACAAATGGCGCTTTGGCGCTGTAAATGGACGGCTTTCGTAGATTTTGCGAAGTTGCCTCCTTCGCTTCGAAATATGTGTATCTGTCTCTACACATAAGTTTCCATTTTTTTTGCAATGTTTTCAAATGTCATACAGTTGCCGTTTCTTAAGAGAATATGTGATGAATTTTGGAAGCTCGGAATTCCATGGTTCGCAATACATTTATCTCGATTTATTTTAATTTTGCAAAGCAGTGCGACGATTCGCTAGCGCTAGTACGGCGCGACGGCTTGCTGGCGTGAATGTGGCACGAACGCAGCAGAACGAAAAGCTGTAGTGCGTTTGCCTGGAGGTAGCCATATCGGCATGTTCCAGACTTAAATGAAGTCTGGGATGGTCGACCGTTGTAATATTTAACAAGAGTTAATATCTGTTAGCAGGTGGTGATAACTGATAGACCGTATGCTGTTCACTGTCAACCGCACGAGGACGTGCGACAGTCAGAGGTAGCCGCGTCTGTGCCTCTAGAAAATACTAGAGACGTTGCAACACTCTAGCGAAGTAATTATTCTAGTGCAAGAAAGGAACATGAAGTTGCAGGGAGGCTGGTTTGTGCTACACTGGGATATGTGTCGTGTTACTGTTGGTTTACATACTTAGGAGTTATCGTGTCACTACGTCCCTCACGATACACTTTTGTGTGATTGTGACGGGGACATGTTTGCGGTATGGTTGGTCTGTAACTGTTCTATACTGAATTGAAAAAAAAAGAGTAAGAAAAAAATGTGGTTCTTACTGTCATTGCAGGGCGTTTGCCGGTCCAATAATATAGCTAAAGGGAATAGTGATTCCGGACTAGCATAAATAGTACTTGAAAAAAGAGCGTAAGAAAAAAAAATAGTTCTTACTATCATTGCAGGGCTTTATGCCGGTCCAATGATATGGCTATAGGGAATAGTTATTCCGGACTAGCGAAAACAGTACTTGAAAAAAAAAAAGAGAAAATAGAAAAAGCTACAGACTAGTCATTCCGATCTGGCATAAAGTTGATTAAAGTTTTGTAGGGCTTACTGCCGGAACAAAACTGATTATCACCAGAGTCTGAAGGGTCAGTATAGACCGGACCAGACGCTGTTTTGCAGGATAATCGAACGATGTTTTACAGATTACAGTTGTTACAGATAACTAAAATTGTGATGGAGCGCGTGCGAGGACGCACGCATGTCAGTATGGCCGTGACGGCACCTGCACCGTTGTAGATGCGGTGGCGTCGGTCTAGCTAGACAGAATTCTTGTAAACGACACGTGTACCGCACACCTGCGGCATTGCACCTGCGTTGCCGCCCGTCCTGCTTGTATAAAACGGACTGAGCGGCCGCCGTTAAGACAGTCTTGGCTCTGACGTGGAATGGTGCGCTTGTCGTATTCCGTTACTAGTTTATCCTCGACTCGTTGGATAATTAATTCGTGTAAACGAATTAATTATTATTGCTAACTACAAAATCAGTCTCTGTACTATACCCACTATACTTTCTACATATATTTTTCTTATGAATAAATAGATTTGTTTTTTTTTATCAAAAAACTATATTTTTGTAAGTACTGTTTTATGGCTGGCAAGAAAAAAATTTGTGGCTCTTTAAAAAGTTTGAAATTTTGTAAATTGTATTTTTGACTCCTCCGACTCAAAAGGTTGCCGACCCCTGCCATAGGCGAAAGTTTATCGACCAAATTGGCATTATATTGAAAATGGGCCAAATTAAGAGTATTTTTAACCGACGAGTGTGTAGCGAGAGAGGAGTGTCACGATCGTGCCAAATGGAAGTCCATAGTCTCTGCCTACCCCTCGGGGTGACAGGCGTGACTGTTTATGTTTATGTTATGTGATTGTAAGTGGCTAATGTAGTCCATGGGCGCATGCAGCTGACTTCAAATAAGAACGCTAGAGAGGCGTTGTTACCTCTTAAAACTAAGATGGAACGCCTTACAGCCGTTAATAAATTCCCCCGCAACCCTCAGCGCCGTAACCCATTGCTAAGTAGCCAAGGGTACGTACGTTTTTCTACGTGGTAGAGCCATGCTGCAGCTATTTTATGGTTGTAGCACGAATGGGTCGGCTCGACCGGGGAAGGACCATGCTATCACAGAAAACCAGCGTAAAATAGCAGCTTAACGCTGCTGTGTTTCGTATGGTGAGTGTAGAGAACCGGAGACCCTTTTTACTGGCAAAGAGACATTCCAACTTAGTCCTCACGGGTGACAACGCATATGCCTCTTGAGTTTTTATTGAGGATAGATGTAGATGTCTATGGGTCACAGTAACCACTTACCATCAGGTGGACTGTGTGCTCGTTTGTCACCCGATACTATAAAAAAAAGGTCACTCAATAAGTTTTGAGATATACAAAAAGTATTCTAGATACTATTAATATTTATTTTACATCTTTTCAAAATATTCTCCATCATGCTCTGTACAAAGTTCCATTCGCCTAAACCAACTCTGAAAACACTTTTGCCAGTCTTGATCTGACAAGTCGGAAATCGCTTGTTCGTAGGCAGCCACGGCTTCTTCGGCGCTTGAAAAAAACTTGCCTTTTATTTTTTTCTTTGACTCTTGGGAACAAAAAGAAATCGCAAGGAGCTAAGTCAGGGCTGTAGGATGGGTGACTTAGAGTTTAAACACCAGATTCCTCAATAAATGCTTCTGTTCTAAGGGAGGTATGTGAAGAGGCGTTATCGTGATGCAGCATGATTCCCCAAAACCCGGTCTTTTGTATTCTCTCCCACACAGCTTGAAAAGCTTTGGGTAGTGCAACTGTAGTATACCATTCAGAGTTGACTGGCCTACAATTTTCCAGCATTGACGTCGAGAAATGTCCGCTCCGCAATAAAAAACTGGACACCATTTTTTTGCCGACGTTGCGAGGTCTTTGCAGTTTTGTCGGTAACTGTCCTTCTGAGCAGACCCATACCGCTGATTGGCTTTTATTTTCCGGACCATATTGATAGATCCATGTCTCGTCACCAGTAATGATTTCTGAAACACGCCTTGATGCCCCGTTACCAAAACGTAGACGCATTTCATGGCACCAATCCACACGAATCTGTGTTGATCCATGAATCCAGCATGAATCCATTAACAACAAAGCTTCCTTACTCCAAGATGTTGATGTAGTATGGTATGAATACTCCTCGAACTAATGCCTACAATCTTTTCGATGTCCGTATATGTGATTCGTGGGTCTTCTCACACCAACATTTCAGTAGTCCATACATTTTCTGCCGTTACTGCTGTTTGCGGGGCCCCGGTTCTTTGGTCATTTTTAAGATTAATGTTACCCCTTTTGAATTCAGCAAACCACCTAAAAATTGTTGCGCGTGATGGAGCTGAGTCCCCTAATGCTGATTGTAACCATTGTAAACTTAATTGTTCGGTTAAACCAAATTTAAAATCATAATATATCATAGCGCGCAAATGTTCACGGTTAAGATCCATCGTTTTAAATGAAAAGCGCGGGAAGCGTTGCAGGAAAATTAATAGAACTTTGTTTTTTTTTTGTAACACTGAGCAATTAGCTTATGGAGTTCTATTTTTAAATAAATTTGCTTTTTAGAAACATATAACACGGTTGCATTCCATTTTTAAATTTCGAGCCTCTCAAAACTTATTGAGTGACCTACGTATATAATAAAATAGCTTGTAAGCAATACTTACAGCAGCGATAATGTTGAGCATTGTGATGTTGTCCTGCAACGTGCCGTTGCTGCTCTCGTCGAACTCCCAACTCCTGAACGTCCGGTACGACACGGAGCCATTGTGCGGATGCCACGTCACGTTCACGTGACTTCGCTTCTCTCGGAACCGGTACGGACCTGAGGTAAGACGGACGATTTATATTTGTATTGAGTTTTCTTTCTTCTCTTTTTTTATTTATTTTTATAGAATAAGGACGACAAATGAGCACACAATCCAACTCATGGTAAATTAATGCTGTAGCCCATAGACATCTACGTTTATGTAGATGCGTTGTCTCCCCTGAGCACTAAGATGGAATGCCTGGTTTCCAGTAAAATGGGTCTCCAGTTCTCTAAACGTACCATACGAAACACAGCAGCATTAAGCTGTAATTTTACGCTGATATTCTGTGTGAGCGTGGTACTTTTCCGGTGTAGCTGACCTATCCGTGTCTATACAACCACAATATAGCTGTAGCATGGCCCTACCCTGTAAAAACCCAATGGATTTGCCGACTTTCTTCCAACCGTGTCAACCATATACAAGGTTATTTTTCAAAGAATAGCCAAATTTTAAACTTAAGTTAAAATATATAAATAATGATTTAATATTATTGCAGTTTTTAAAAATACGAGTAAATAAGGCTGAAATGAATGCTATGAAATTATCCCAAATTGAATGTGATTTATGGACAACAACCACGCTTATGCGCGCTTCTCTGTGTGTGATTCAATTCACAATGTTCATGCCGACCGATCGGCCTTTACGAATGTGTGTGGGCATAGTAAAGACGCGTTGGATATTTATGAATGCCAATCAGTTAAAATAAAGCATTACCACGCATTTTGAATTTAAAAGATAAAAAGGACAGAATGTTTGATATTTGAATACCAGATACCCTTTTCACTGGAAATGAGGCATCCCATCTTATTAATCAGGGGTATCTGAATTATGATTCCTAAAAGAGTATCAATAGGTGTCTTTAGACCGCAGTATCCACTTACCATCAGGTGGACTGTGTGTTCATTTGTCACCCTTATTCTAAAAAATATGTGTCATTTAATAATTCAGATAATACGCATATCACTACTCAAACAGGCCTACTAATTAATATTACGAGATATAATGTATCATCGTATAACGGTTCCATAATGTTTTATAGTTTTTAATTCGGCAAATTGTCAATATTATTAAATATTGTTCTTTAATAATGTCTCATTATAATAACCATAGACATAGAGGGAATGGACTGTGCGTTACGTATTTAGTTGTGCAGTGAATACAGACTGAAAAGTGCGAAAGAGACAAAGCAAATGTGCGGCCAGTAATAGTCTCTTTCTAGAATTCTGATTGGTCCTCGTCACTGGCTCGCAAGATGTAGACCAGACTTGCAGGAAAGAGACGGGTGTTAGCCGCACAGTTGCTTTATCTCTTTCAGAGAATGGTCATTTTTGTGTGGCTAGCGCTCAGTTCATTCTCTGTATGTCTATGATAATAACAGATATTATAAGTTGCAGATATATAAAGTAAATAAAGACGTTAACGTGGTAGAGTTCGTCTGCAGAGATTAAAAATCAAAATGTCCCTGAGGAGTCAAATGGAATGCCTTGTTACCAGTAAAAACGGTCTCCGGTTCTCATTTTCGTTTTGATTCTAAATATAGGATGGATGTAGATGTCTATGGGCTATACTAGCCACATACCAACAGGTGTACTGTGGCTGTGTGCCCATTTTGATACCGTTTATCTATAAGAAAACGTATCAAATGTATCGTTACGTCGCCAAGATACTGCTCTGACTTTGCCTTCAGTAGCTACGTACTGGGTTCTTTGTATAAGAGACTCACTCACCTATTTCCACCAAGTTTGGAATTTCATCAGGAAACTGTTCCGCATTGGTCCAGTTGAATAGGTATACGTCAAAGTACAACGGTACTGTCGGTTCTACCCACTCTCGGAAAGACCGTGAGGTTGGAGTGAGCGTCATTTGCTGGAAAAAAACAAAGAAGATTAGATACAATTAAAGTAATTTTTTCTTCTTTTTAATAAGCAGTACCCTCCCCGTAGGAATTAAAAAGCGTATACATTGTCCCATACCGTTACAGCCTATTAAAGTCTACTGCTGAACATAGGCCTCCCCCACAGATTGCCACATAGGGGGGATATTTGCCATAGTTAGCATCCTTGGCAAGCGGGTTGGAAACCGCAGTTTTTATTTTTATTTTTAGTTGCTAAAAGGAGAAGAGGCTGCTGTCCATTGCCTGGTTTGTTTCCCTCTGTCGCCTCTCACGACACCCACGGGGTATGGGGTACTGGATGTTCTTACACAGCCACTATACGGGTATCGCCCCATAAATAAATTGCAATTCTATGAATTCGAGAAACTGATATAGATAGGTCAAGCTTGTGTAATAAATTCATACATATGAATCAGACCTTAATCGAAGAATTGTCGCAAATCGTCAATTGACTTTGGGTTAATCGGCCTAGCGGTCCTCTATTAATCCCGAATCGATTAAAATCCACTATTAGTGCTCAAGGTCCCCCATCTGTGTAATTAGGTTGCGTATACACTTATCAGTAGTGGCGTGTATATACTCAAATTATTATGTTATATTTTTAAGGTTTGGAGGCGGCGTAAGGGAGTCTATCATCCCTAGAACGTCCCGTAAGTGTCCCAGCTAATAATTCTTACGGTAAGAGGACAAGAAAATATCTAGTACCACGTGTTTTTAATGAGATATTTTCTGAAGACGAATGTGGTAATAAAGAAATATGTAAAAAAAAAAACTTTATTAAACTAAGTTTTTACAAAAAGGGTTATTATAATATGTATGTGTTAAAGAGTTTATGGATGATAATAACGCCTGGGAATAAGGTAATCGCTGCCAAGCTATTTCTAATTCGTTTTGAGTTGTTAATCGTGTAACATGATTGTAAGTTGTTATTTAAAAAAAAGTCCCACTGAGTTTCTTGCTGGTTCTTCCCAGGACGAAGGTTTTTTTCCGAATCAGTGGTAATTGAAAGAAAAAGTGACTTTCAATGAGTATTATTTATAATCTATATTGAACAAAAAAGTTTCTGATTCCGTGGTGGCTGAATAAGACGAGGATACGTGTAATTATGATTAAAATTCTAAATTAAAATTAATAATTTTAATTTAGAATTTTAATACAAAAACTTATATTTCGATGTGATATTATTAATAAGTTAAAGTAAATAAGAAGTATGTAAATAAAACTACTTAGTTCAGATTTAATTTTTCTATTTGCAATTTAAATCCAAGGTTATACGAGTATGATTTAAATTCCAATTACAGAATGTAAGTGGGTGATATACTCGCCGACATACTGTTCCGCAGTTTGGCGGAGTAGTGTAAGAAACGACCGATAGATTTTTATTTTTCAAAAGGTCTGCTCGATCGGGGAAGGACCACGCTTTCACGGAATACCAGCGTGCAAAAGCAGTTGGAAGCATCCACTTACCATCAGGGGCAATGTTTGATCAACCTTCCTGCACGACGCGCTTAAAAGTTTATTTAAATAATTTTCTCTTTCGAGTACAGCTTTCATAGTAACGATAGGAAGCTGGTATTTTGGAAATTCGTTATGGACCAGCTACCAGTTTCCAGTTTAAATCAAGAAAGAAAACAATAGGGAAAAGTGATAGGAAAAAGTAGTGAAATATATTTTAAAAAGTTACTTCGCAAACATACGCTTTATAAAATAAAATTATGTATCTTACCTAGTATGAAGAGCACCTCCCGCCCTCCCTCAATTGCGTGCACTATCCCCGTCACCACTATGTTTGCGAAGTAACTTTTTAAAAGCTTTTATATAATGGATTTCTGCAAAGTAACGCCTGATTCTATTAATTATATTAAAACTAGTGAAATTTGCAATGTCACATTTCTAAGGGGGGATTTATGAAGGTTAACCGATGTTTCATTTTGTCAATGTCGAGCCCGCTACATAAGATACAGACCACTAATGACTGACGTCAAGACCGGGACCATACCATAGGGATCCGTAATCTTGGTCGTCTAATCTTTCTTTTGAGAGAGTGCAGACGGGCTTTGAGTGACACACCTTCTCAGGGGTCATGCCCACCTCGTTGTTCCCGAACCGAACGTGGTGTGGTATTAGTTTCTGTGGATAGAAGGTCACTAATTGGTCGATCTCTGTTGCAGGGCTGGTCATGAGGAGCCGCTGTACCGTTTCAATAATATATGTTTACTTCAGTATACGTTATACATTTGTATATGTATCAGACAACTAACTTAATCAGACCTTTGGTTAACAGTCTCGTCTTTTTACTAAACAGCGCCGTTTAACTCAAAGACCAGCGACCGTCTCGTTGAATGAAATTAATAAGGAAACAATGATATGTAATGTCGATGGTATATGCATAATTTTGCGCTATGTTTCGCGTAGTGTATATATTCTTTGGCTATGTGCTATATTACATAAAAGTACCTGGCTTTATAGCCGAAAGGCCACTCCAGTCACACCTCAAGGTAGTCGCTGATATTATAAGATGGTCCAATTTTGTATTGGACGCATCGCCCGAATATCATTCAGACCGCTAGTTGAACGGCGCCGTTTAGTATAAATTAAAATTAAAATTTTGTACAACCGACTTCAATATAAATTATTAAGAATAACTCAAAACGTACTGGTCAGACATTGATCAAATTTATATGGGACTACATGAGAAGCACCAGCTTTCAAATAAAAAAAAATAATCATCGAAATCGGTTCAACCAGAAAAAAGTTATGAGGTAACATACATAATAAAAAAAACATATAGTCGAATTGAGTACCGGCTCCTTTTTGAAGCCGGTAGAAAAAGGCTAGGCTATTCACTGAAAGGCTACTTAAACTATTGGCTGCGACATTTACACTGGTTGCAGTAGTGTTTAACAATTAAAAATGTTGTGCAACCGACTTCAATATATAGGTATTATTAAGGATAACTCAACAATTATTGATCAAACTTTGATCAAATTTATATGGGACCACATGAAAAGCACCAGTTTGCAAATAAAAAAAGAATCATCAAAATCGGTTCACCCGAAAAAGTTGAGGTAACACAGATAAAAAAAACACAGTTGAATTGAGTACCTACTACTTTTTGAAGTCGGTTGAGGATACATAAGCAGATTATTAGACATCGCGTGACCATTAGATCATTGATCATTTAACTTACTTAACTTCCATTAATTAGATTAGATAACATAATCGAAAACGATCAACATATCGGTAATAATATTAAAAAAAAATTCAAATTTTGTACAACCGAATTCAATATATATTATTAAGGATTACTCAAAAACTATTGGTCATACCTTGATCAAATTTATATGGGAACACATGAGAAGCACCAGCTTTCAAATAATAAAAAATTATCACGGAAATTGGTTCACCCAGAAAAAAGTTATGAGGTAACACACATAAAGAATCAATCGAATTGAGTACCTCCAAGAATACATAAAATAATGCCATAGGCATCGCGTGACCTAGTGATCATTTAACTTACTTAACTTCCATTAATTAAATTACATAACATAATGAAAACCATCAATAAACCATCCAAAAACCAGGTAATAAAATATTGTAGTAAAACTTAAAATCAAGCTGAAATTTTTAACGTTGCATTACTAAAAAATAAACAATGCCATATTTACTCAACTGAAGCGAAACCCAAGAGGCGGTTAGTTTTGTCTGAGATTTATGAAGTTATGTATTTGTATGAATGACTTGGACTTGACTTGGAACCTTTGAACAAGTCCTCGAAATCTGATGATATCTCAATTTGTGAGAATTTAAGAAGTAATTGCGCGGTCACCATAACAATGTCCTCCAGACCGGATTTTGCTCACGACGGCCAGTCCTGATGGAGATAAGCCATCTGTGTAGTACAGGATTAAAGTGCACGAGTGTGTGCACTAGCAGTTTTTACGTGGTAGAGCCACGTAGCCATATCATGATTGTAGCACGAATGAGTCGGCTCGACCGGGGTGGAACCACGCTCTCACAGAATACCAGCGTAAAATAGTAGCTTAATGTTGTGTTTCGTATGATGAGTGTAGAGAACCGGAGACCTTTTTTACTGGACACGAGGCATTCCATCATAGTCCTCAGGGGTGACAACGCATCTGCATTTTGATTCTTAATCGAAGATAAATGTAGATGTCTACGGGCCACAGCATTCCCTTACCATCAAGTGGACTGTGTGTTCGTTTGTCAACCTATTTTATTTTAAAAAAAAGCATTCGACACGAGTGTATGACATAGTCCGATTGGACGGCAATCCTAAACTACCGAGAGATCGGACATAGGACCAACGGTTTTCCATGCTTTCCGAGGCACGGGATGAAACATCACCATCTCCCTGACTCCGGGTTGCTTCCGAGAATCTCTTGAGAGAAAAGGCCCATAAACTGATGTTTGCTCGGCCCAGGATTCAAATCCGGAACTTCGTGTTTAGCAGAGAGACACGGATAACGTCGACTATATTATGACATGACAAAAAAAAATGGCTGTCATGAACTGTCAAACTTCAATCCATTAATTTCAGTCTATAAAGGTCCTCTGCTGAAAATGCCCCCACCATAGTATCCTTGAATAAGGAGGGATTTTTCCAGTAGTTGCCACGCTTGGCAAGCGGGTTGGCAACCGCAGTTTTTTTTTATTATTTCCAGTTGTTATCAGGAAGATGCTGTTGGCCAACTCCTGTTTCAATATCCCTCTGTCACCTCTTACGACAGACGATATTATGGGGTAGTGGATATTCTTACACCGCCACTACACTATTTCTATTCTATTCTACGAACTTGAAATTTTACATCAGCGAAAGTAGAACTTTTCTTCATAGAATAGGGTGACAAACGAGCACACAGTCCACCTGATGGTAAGTTGTTGCTGTGGTCCATAGACATCTACATCTATTTTCGTTTGTGAATTAAAATGCAGATGCGTTGTCACCCGT